TCAAGTAGTCTCAAAACTGTTCAGGAGTTGACTTTGTCCTGATGACTGTTAAAATGTTAAGGAGTGTAACATGTGTAGGAAGTGATACAATTTTCTGGTTTTCCAACAAGATGAACTGCAAGCTTACTCTGAACTCTTTACTTGACATAGTCTGGGACCTCTCAGGGAGTAAGTTTTAAAAGAATAGAGCAGCCTGTAAGAACAAACAGTAAGAGGAACATGATGGTTATTGTGTTTCCTTCTGGTAAAGCCGGGAGAAGTGATGTAGAGCTAAGCTGCCTTGACTGCCAGCCATGTCTAAGAATTTGGTAATCATCACCTCAGTGGTAATGACAGTTTCGCTCCATCTGTTACTGGCTTCTAGCTCGGGAGATGCTGCTGAGCTTTACTTCCTGTTAAGTCACTGAGATCCACCAGGATATTTGATGATTCTTTGTATTTAGAGTTAGATGACAGTGCCAATTATGATGTCTTTATTATTTGAGGGTTAATCTTCCGACTTACAGGAACGGTAGCTGTGGTTATTTTTGAGTGTAATCTTTGGCTCAGTACCCACTTCAATTCGTAGCAGTTATAAAGTCAGTACCTGCGGTTGGGCACGCAGGTCACAGTTTGAGTAAGAAATCACACGGAGCGGCCTGCATGGGCTAGAGCTGTGACATGGGCTTCATCTGTTTTCTTCCAGCCAATGGGGCTGAGTTAGGTGATGGGGCACCCAATACTTGTGGAAATGGACTGGAATCATTGAATCATATTCCTGTAATGTCACAATCTCCCTGGCTCCCAGAATAAAAGTCTTTTTGTGTTTTTGATATAAATATATATACTCTATAATAAAATGTTTGACTAATTTATATAGTAGTGCTCACTGGCTTGTAATGGTTTTAATCAGTGACTAGTCATGGGAGATTGTTTTGTTTTTGTTGTATTTGTTCCTCTCTTTGTTCTTGTTTGGAGCATACTCTCAGTTTTCCTCTTCATACCAAATGGACAGACTAGAACAGAATGAACCCCTGATCTCACAGAAGTGGTATTGGACAGACTAGAGCAGGATGAATCCCTGATCTCACAGAAGTGGTACTGGACTGACAGTTTCCCACTCTGACTTCACTCTGCCCTCACCTTGTCTGCTCAGCCAAATGGTTGCGACTTTCTGCCTTCTATAATTTAAACTTTAAAAAAATTTTTTATTAATTTTTTACATTCCAATCCCAGTTCCCCCCTCCCCCCCCCACTTCTCCCATCTGCTCCTCAAAGAAGTAAGACCTAGGAAGTCTACTAAGTCCTTCCTATCATTAGTTGAGGCAGGACCAAAGCACCTCTCCACTCCCACACCCCTGTGTCTAGGCTGAGCAAGCTATCTCTCCATATAGAATGGACTCCACTAAGTCAGTTTGTGCATTAGAGTTAGATCTTGGACCCACTGCCAGTGGCCTCATACATAGTCCCAGTCACACCACTGACACCTATATTTAGGGAGTCCAGTTCGGTCTTACGCAGGTTTCCCCATTTGTCAGACCTGAGTCAGTGATCTCTCACTAGCTCGGGTCAGCTGATTCTGTGGGTTTCCCCATCATGGTCTTGACCCCTTTGTTCATATTATCACTCCTCCCTCACTTCCATTGTACTCCAGGAGCTTGGCCCAACAGTTAGTTGTGGATTTCTAAATCTGTTTCTAGAAGAGGGTTCTAGCTTCTCTGGGGTTGTGGATTGTAGGCAGGATTATAATTTAAACTCTTAATGGCCAAAAACTGGTGACAAAAAAAAAAAAGGTATTAGCAAAATCAGTTAGTTGTGGATTTCTAAATCTGTTTCTAGAAGAGGGTTCTAGCTTCTCTGGGGTTGTGGATTGTAGGCAGGATTATAATTTAAACTCTTAATGGCCAAAAACTGGTGACAAAAAAAAAAAAGGTATTAGCAAAATAAGTATATAATTAAAGTTTATTTTGGTTTTATTTTCTGAGACAAAAACTGATTAAGAAAAAAAAATGCTGTTGACATTTGACTGTAATTTTTTTTCTCCTGAAGGAAGTGTTCTTTGTTTTAGTGTGTTAAAAGTGTAATTGATTTGTTTGGGGAACCACTAGTGGATATTAAATTAATCAGTGGCAGGACATTAGTATTAAGACAGTATATTGGGCTAGGTGTGGTAGCCCATGCCTGTAATCCCAGCACCTGGGAGGCATTGGGTGGTGGATCTCTGAGTCCTGGACAGCCAGGGCTAGGTAGAGAGGCCCTGTCTCAAAAAACAAAACAATATATCAGAGTCCCTTTATTTATTTTGAAAATGTCCTTAGTATTGAGAGCTGGCTATCTCCTGCCAAAATAAATTTCTTCTTTTTTCTTTAGTAGTACATAGCAAATAGATAACTCATATTTCAGGTCATAAAAATTTTCCCTAATCTGTGAGAGATTCAAATTGATCAGTGAAAAATATTTGACATCAAAATATTCAATGAAGACTGTTGTTTTACTTGGTAAATTTCATGTGTTGTTTAATAAAATATTTTCTTTTTTAAATGAGACAGCTGGAGACTTAAGATACAGTTCAGTTGGTAGAGTTCTTCCCTAGGATGCTCGAAGCCCTTAATTGTATCCACAGCACCACATAAACTGGGCATGGTGGCACATACTGTGGCCCTAGTGCTGGGAAGTGAAGACAGGGTGGTTCATGCTTTTCCTCAGCTGCATTGCAGATTCAAGGCCAGCCTTGTGGCTACCTGAGAGACTGTCTTAGAAGGAGAGGGAAGACCAAATAGCTGTAACTCCATTTACCCTGTTAAATGTCATTTCATTATGGTAATGGGGAAAATACTGGTCAGACGAGCATTCATACCATGTTTAAAGTGAATAAGGGCTGTTGAGATGGCACCTTCAGTAAAGGTGTTTGCTGTCAAGCCAGACAACCTGATTCCAGTGTCTGGTACCTAAGTGGTGGGAAGAGAACCAACTCCTTAAGCTTCATCAGACCTTCATACATGAACAAGAGAACACACATAACACACACAAATGTTTTAATTTTTAAATTGTTTTAATTTTTAAGTGAATTAAGATGCTTCCCCCAAGAGCACACGCATCTCCATTACTCAGTGGCTCTCACTGCAGTGTAGGATGTAGGCAAGGTGATTGCTAAGTTAATCCTAGGGGATTTTCAGAGAAAAATGAAAGTCAATTTACTACTCTGAGTTAGTCACATTGCAGCTCTTAAATTGATATGGGACATAGGTGGTACTTGTCCTGGTTGGGGTTGGGTTTCCCATTTACATTTTCTAGCATGTCATTCATATTTTAGCAAGAAGACCCTTAAATCCTGCATCTTTTAGTTCCTATCTGTATGGATATGTTTGTCCTGTTTCATAGGTTGTCCAAGAAGCTGGTAGTGGCTTGCTCACAGTGTCAGTTAATGGGGAAATTACAAAGACCAGTAAATGTTGATTGTGCATTGTTTACCATCAATAACAGGTGAAAATATTTTCATAGGCCTTACAGAACTAGACCTTTTCTAAAGGTAGGAAACTATTTTAAGATCCTTATATCTTTCATTTGGTGTCTCATGCTACTCTTCAGACACTTGTAATCCTTTGGGGGAAAACAGATGACACTACTTGTGTTCTCTATGGAAAAACAGGTTTTTTAGAGGTCTTTAAAAGGTGAGGGATACTCTCTCAGCCTAGGCCCTGCACCAAATGATGGGACAGACTTTGATCCCCCATGGAAAGCCTCATCCTCCATGAGAAGTGGATGGGGGGCCAGTGGGGGTCATGGGAGATGGGAGGGAGAGAGAACTGGGATTGATATGTAAAATAAGATTTTTTCCAATTTAAATAAAAATTTATGCTTAAAAAAAAAAGGTGGGGCCTAAAGAGATGAGTCCTTGGTTAAGAGCACTTGCTGCTTTTGCAGAGGGCTCGAGTTTGACTTCAAACACCCATGTCAGGTGGCTCACAAGCTCCTGTAACTCCAGTTCCAGGAGACCTGATAGCCTCTGCAGGTACCCACATACATGTGCACACACACACACACACACACTAAATAAAAATGAAACCTAGGGATGGCTCAGAGGGTAAAATCATTGGCTGCTCTTCCAGAGGTCCTGAGTTCAATTCCCAGCAACCACATGGTGGCTCACAACCATCTCTAGTAGAATCTGATGCCCTCTTCTGGCCTGCAGGCAAACATGCAGACAGCTCACTGTATACATAATAAATAAAAATAAAAACCTTAAAAATTTTGAAAAATAATGAAACCTAAAAAAAGAAAAAATGGGGGGAACGCTACATATGCAAAAACTGGTATGGTACTGGCCTTTACTAGTGCTTTTTGAGCCCAGTTAGACTATTTTAATCGATTAAAACAAAATTAATCCTAACTTCCAGAATGAAAATCTTTAGTTGCAAGCTGTAGTTATTAATACAGGGATCTTGTCAGTGAGAAGGTACAATGTTCCTGCCCAGGGCATTCAGCTCCATGCATATCCCATGTGCCAAAAAATAAAAGTTCTTGCACTGGTCCCCACAACATCTGCTTTTCAGCATCATGTATTCAGTGATGATCCTTTTTTAAAAGAACGTTTATGTGTATCAGTGTCTGCCTGTGTGTATGTTTGTGCAGTATGTGTGTGCATGATGCCCATGGAGGTCAGAAGAGGACATTGGATTTCCTAGAACTAGGTTAACATATGGTTATAAGCTGCCATGTGGGCACTAGGAATCAAACCTGGCTCTTCTGGTAGAGCAGCCAATGCACCTACCTGCTGAACCATCTGTCCAGCCCCAACAATGATATCCATTATCAATGTCTGATATCAACCTATCCACCAGAAAACAGGTCCCCTCTGTCTGTTTTAATAGAAATACATGGTTCCCAAATGGATGTATATACAAAATCTTGGTCATTCCGATCACAGGATAAAGAAGTTTGTCACTTCATGTTCTCCAATCCTCTCTACCGCCACATCACCAAACAGTGTCATAAAAGTCAGTACACATGAGATAAAGAAGTCATTATTTGAAGACCTGTTTATTAGAAAGGTGCTATTGGAAGACAATTTATTACAAAGAAGCCAGTGAGAAGCCACAACAGACATGAAGGGGGTTGGAGGGCCAGAGGCCACGGACAGACAGAAAACAGAAGGCAGCCACAGTGCTGATATCGCCACAAGTAACAACCTGCTGATCAGTTTAGATAGTTCACAACATTGTTAGAAATCAGTTACCAGCATTCAGATAGAAACATTGACAAAGGACAAGATGTTCATTGTAATCCTGTTTAAAGGCCTAGTCCATCTTGAAAGATCAACAATGAATTTTAAAAATCAAACATTCCAACCCCACTCCCAGATATGTTAAGAACCACCTGCTGGCATTTGTACTTAAGTGTCTGAAATAAAACAGGCCAAAATTTCAAAGCCTGTGCAAGGGCTTGATTCTTTGATTTAGCACCAAGTAATATAAAGAGTACATTTTCCTTGAAGGTAGAGTTGTTTTTTCTTCACTTCTTGTATTTTCTCACTTGGGGCCACAATATATAAGGATGTGTCCTTGCCCCACTAAGGAATCTAAAGTGACCGAAGTTTAGATTGGTTTCCCAGGCCTGGCTTAGTGGTACACACCTGTAATTTAAGCACTTGGAGGTTTAAACAAGAGGGTCATGAAAATTAGGCCAGCGTGGACTATATCATTTCAAGCTAGCCTGGGCTACATAGGCTGGGGCTGGGGCCAGCTGTGGTGGTCCACACCTTTAATCCCAGCATTTGGGAGGCAGAAGCAGGTGGATCTCTGTGAGTTAGAAGCCAGCCTTGTTAACATAGTTCTGGACAGCCAGAACTACATAATGAGATCTTGTCTCAAACAAACAAAAATCCACACAAGAAAAAGAAAAGACTAAAGGCTGGAGGTGTGGTACTGCAGTAGGATGCTTGCCCAGCACACAAGGCTGAGTTGGATCCACAGTGCTGTCGGTGGATGAGGAGCCTGCTTAGATGGTACAAGAAGAGTTGTTTCCCTTTGAAGCAGTGGCAACCGGTAGCACACAGTGATGCCAGCACTAGGCTGAGGCATAGTCCTCAGCCTGAGCAATGTGCGAGGATCTAGGACTATCCACTGCCATTTGCCAGTGCTCCTCTGAGAACTCAGTTAACATAAATCATATCCCTCAGTACATGCATGTTTGGAAAAGAAAACAAGCCATATTAAAATGTCCATAAGTGCATTTTCATAGCAAATTGGAAACTAGTAGATAGAGGACACAGCATGGTGGCCTGTGCCCTTGCTTTTCCTGTAAAGGCAGCAGTGAGCTTGCATCTGGCAGCATCTGTAAATAAAGCCAGTTGCTTTCTTCCTGTCATCTATAGACTTCCCACATACCACATCCCATGGCGCTAGAAAACATTTTTTGGGGGTTGTGATGGGGCATTGGCTTATGTAAAAGCCTTAATGAGATATTTATCTGCCTCAAATGATGTAATTTTTTTAAAAAACTTTTCCAGAAAATCATGAAAATGTGATCAACCGCTAACTGAACATGAGGGTAGACAATTAACTAGTTGCTCTTTTAATTGGGCTATGATTTTTTTTTTTTAAGTTTCAACATCTCTAATGTTTTCTAATTGCAAATCCACAGAAGACATCTAGATTAAACATTCCAGGTTATTTTAACAGATCAGCCTTACTTAGTGTCTGACTCATTGGCGCATCCTTAGTAACATCCAAAAGAAAGCCATTATGAATAAGACATAATTTTCAGAGACGTCTTAGGAAAAGAGCTTCAAAAAACAGAGGCAAGGCGAGGCAAGGAGGCCCTGCTTCATCCTGCTAAATACTGCCCTCCTCAAGGAGTAACAGAGGCTTTCTGGGTAGTTTCTGGAACTTTCGTCAGTAGGAAAGAATATACATGGGGCCAGATCTTGTTGGTTTCCGTTCCAGAGAATGTTTCCAACACTCCTTTTTTCCTAAAGATGAAAAACAAATAGGTAGATAGGTAAATAGATTACACAGGACTGAGTGTGCCTACTGAGCTTTTTCAAAGGAATTTGTAGTCCATGTGACTTCGGAAGTCCTGAGAGTTTAGGTCTCTGATCCAGGGGAAGGAACTTGGCTGGACAGCAAAACCTTTGTTCTCTGACATAAGGGGCTCTTTAAAAAGATCTGAGCTGTCCTATTGAGCCTGTGCTGCTGGCTAAGCCTATACTAATGCTTCATGTCTTGTCAAAAGCCCAGATGCTCCTACTTACAGACACTCTTGCCTTATAGGAAGGGACTCAATCGCCAGGTGGGCAGGTTAGAAACAGAGCTGGTCAGCACCAGGACATCATCCTGCCTTGCCTTGTCCACTGAAGTCTGAAAGTTTCCTAACACTCATTATCCTTCCTTTTTACCAAGTTCCTTTCCCCTCTATTCTACCTTCCTGAATCATTTCTCCTGTCAGAGTTCTCTGTGTATCCCTGGCTTATCCCCAGACAGACCAGCCATCAAAGTATTTTATTTTACTCTAGTGTTCAGGATGGGGTAAGGATGAAGTATGGGGCTCAGAATCCTGGCATTTGCCTTAAGGTTCTGAACTCCCCTAACCCACACACATTTCTTGGGTGTGCACACTGGTTTGTAGGTCACCCAAGAACAGATATATAAGTTGATTTATTAATTTCCACAAATAGGCTGTCATAGCTCTGCAGCTGTTCTCACCAGGCTGTCGCCAGGACAAAGGAATCCCTTTGTTGACAACTCACATTTGCTGTGGTTAACTTAAATAACAGGAGCTGTTTTCTGGGTGAAAGCATCTGCAACAGAGAAAAATTATGCAAAGGGAATATTTGCATAGTAGAAGCCCTTTATCCTCTCAATTCTCAGGCAGGTGGAACTCTCAAGAGACCAAGCTCTGAATAAGAAAGCTTGCAGACAATCTAGCATCAGCTGTGGTGCCAGGAGTGATGTATTACTGAGGCAGAACCCCAGGCACCCATTCCCTACACACATACATTTGCCATTATAATTTCCCTAATGAAATGAAGCCAGCTACAAAAATTAGCCTTCCACGGAGTAAGAGCATTACATTTCTAGACAGATGAACCTTCCCCGGCTAGGAAAAACAAGAAGACTTAAGCTTGTTCAAATTACAGTACTGGCTATTATGAAGTTTCTTTTTTTTTTTTTTTTCTTTTTTCTTCTTGTTTGTTTTTGTTTCTTGAGACAGAGTTTCTCTGTATAGCCTTGGCTGTCCTGGAACTCACTCTGTAGACCAGGCTGGCCTCGAACTCAGAGATTCACCTGCCTCTGTCTCCCAAGTCCTGGGATTACAGGTGTACGCCACCACCGCCCAGCATGAAATTTCTTTTTAAGACTCTTTCCATTTTTAGTTAAACCTGTAAGTCTATGCATGAGATCTTAGGTGGAAAAGCATGAATTTATGGGCAAAAAGTATCAGGCGTCAGGAGCCCAGAAAGAAAGTCACTAATTTCTGTAGCTTTCCCCACCCTCCCATCTTGTGTCAGAACTAATCCTTACAGGCACTTTCTCTAGGCACAGCCTCTTGGGAGTGTTATTATCTGCCCAGGCACAGGGCGTTCTCTGCTCTGAGTCCTGTGGACCGTCAAGTAGAGCACACTCAGTACATGAGGTTCAAGTGAGAGGGTTCCCACACCTTCTCTTCAACAGTGTTTGGCTGCAGCTCATCCCACAACTTTAGCTGGGGGGGGGGGTGTCTCTTTTCTGCTGAGTTAGTGGAGCTGGCAGGAGCTGAGCTAAAGTCAGAAAACATTGCAGCCACCTGGGACCGAAGCCAACACCGGGAATGGAACTGAAAGGGCTGAGTTTTGACGGCACTCCTTAAGCCCCTGGGCCAGCCATCTGCCATCTGTATGTGGACTTCTTGGTTATAGGATTAACAACTCCCACCACCCCACCCCTGTTTGCTTAAGGCAGTGTGAATGGTTTCTGATGGTAAGCATGTATTGCATCCCATTGCACGATGCATGTTGTTTGCACAGTTTTCCTCTTACCCATACAAGGTGACTTCCTCGGAGGCTCATAAGAACCGAGTCTAATTGTCTGCTTAGACAAGGGCCTGGCACAGTGCCAGCAGAGTACCCAAAAGCGGCTGCTTCAGTAGCTGAGGATTGCTCTAAGCCTTTGCAGGGGTTCTCTCACTCCAGGCCGCTAACAGGTCTATAGAGCAGGGACCATTTAATGCTGGCTGACCGTAAGGTAGGAATCAGTGGTACAGAGGAGAAATGCCTTGCCTAGGGTTATAGGGTCAGGCTCAGTATACCAACACAAGCTTAAAAACAGCTACTGTAAAAAGTGAATCTCCAACTCTTGTAATTTCACCCTCCAGAAATGAACTATTAGAAATGTTAGGACAGTTAGGGGACCTGTTCAGATGGTCCTGCATGCTTATCCTAATGTAGCAGAAATAGCCACCATAATTACAGCTAATATATGTCCAGCATTTCCTGTGCATCCAGGACAATTCGATGAGTTACATATAGTAACTCACTTTCAAGCCTCTAAACTCACCCACATTTTACAAAAGGGAAACCAGGCAGGGCTTAAGCAAGAGGCAAAGGTCATGTTAATTAAATAGCAAGCTGGGCTTTGAAAGTGGGGTCTTCTCACTCTGGGTCTATGCTCTTACTGCAACAGCATGTACCACTTTGGCCCTGAATCGTTAGCAGGATACAGTGAAAGCAAAGCGCAGTACTCATGCCCTGGAAGAAGAAAGGAAGGGAGGGACAGAGGAAGGGAGGGAGGGAGGGAGGGAGGGAGGGAGGGAATGTGAGTAGAAGCCTTCAAAGACTGTTGACCCCATAATAATTCTGAGGGTTAGCTATCATTTGAAATTCTATGCTTAGGAAACCTCTCTGGGTACCTTTGGTGGGCTCTATTGGGCTTACTATTGCCCCCACACTGGTTCCAGCCCTCCACTACATGGCCTAATGTAGGTGGAAATGAGCTCAAAGCCTTGGATGTGGACTAGCCTGTATCCAGCCTCCCAAGCCCCATGATCGATACTGGAACTGGCAGTAACCCAGGCTTAGAACAATGAGTATGAGGTTTCCTAACCAGTGGCTGCAGTGTTTCATCTAAGTGATGCTGATGCCCAGAGCTTTTGTTCTCCGAATAAAAGGTTTACTCCTCAGCCCTTCGGGAAAGAGGAAGGAGTGGCCTTTCTGGCAAATACCAGCAACTGTGAAGGAAAAACAAAGCCAGTACATAGAAGTGGGCAAAACTAAGAGAATGGCAAAACTGAGGAAAGCTAGGAGACTGAAGCCCTGCCTGTTTTTGTTACAGCCTAGAAATCTCGTTACTGCTTAAGCCAGCTGGGAATGGGGCTTCTGGTAGCTTAGTATTTCAGCTGTAAAGTATGGAAAATCAAAACTGATTGTCTGAGAGCAGTTGAGAAAAGCAAGAACTCACTGGTAATACTGTAGAACTGGCTCTGTCTGGGCTTCATACGCCTTTAGTCTCTTGATCACCGTCTCTGGTTTGTCGTCCTCTCGCTGAATCAGAGGTTCTCCTGTCAGGTCATCAATGCCCTAAGACAGCCATTAGGGCATCAGCTCAGTAATACGGTACTTTTCTAAGCAGACAGCCTTTTTACTGTAGCACCAATCACAAAAAATGTGCTAACATTTCAGTAAACAGGGTCCAAACTAAAGGTAAAGAGATCACTGTAGCAGTGAGAACCCCCAAGGTCCTTTCCATAGCACTGTGCAGTTTGGACTTGGAAGCCCCTCTCTGTCGTTAGGCCCAAGTCCTCAAGTGTGGGCTACTGGGAGGTGGTTGACATTCCAACTGTAATCCAGTGTTGCAAATCCTCCCTGCCTCTGCCTTCACTCACACCCTGGCACACAGGATGAAAATCAAAACCATGTCAGGTTTCTCATCGCTGTAACTAACACCGGAGAAAAACAAGTAGAAGGGACCAACTGTTTATTTGGGCACATAGTATCTGAAGGTTCACATCTATCTTGGCTGCTTGGGCTCATGAGCTTGGACTTCTGGACATCATGGTTGGAGTGTGTAGGTCTTTGTGTGTGTGTGTGTGTGTGTGTGTGTGTGTGTGTGTGTGTGTGTGTGTGTGTGTGTGGTTTTCTTCACAGTATACATAAGAAGCAGAGCGTGGGGAAGGGGCTAAGGATCATGCATGATCTGCCGAGACAGTGCCCCAGTGACTTCTTCCAGTTGTGCTCCACCTCAAAAATGGCACCACCAGTTGGGGACCAAGCAGTCGACCCACTGTTCCTATGGGGGACATGGCACAATTACAGCATAGCACTTGTGAATGAGGAGCACACCTGTGACAGAGGAACTCAGCTTTACTACTAAGCTTGGGTGGACGAGACTCATCAAGTAATACCCTAGCAGTTGTCTTGGTCAGACAGAGGATGTCCAGGTTTACAGAGCTTTGCCTGCTAGGGAAGAGAACTCGGGGACATTGTGCTGTGTGTCAGCCCCACTATTGCTACTCACCACAGTTTTGGGAGGATTGAACTCAATGTTGTATACCCGGCCACTGGCAGGATGAATCCAGCGAGCTGTAAGGCGTTGTTTAATGACCTCAAAGGGCACGTTGAGGTTTATCACTGTGTCTATCTGGTAAGTTTTATCCAGGGCTTCTGCCTGTGGAAGTGTCCTTGGAAAACCTTTATATGAGGGGGAGGGAGGAAAAGACAAGAAAGAAAAGGGATTAGTGTTAGGCAAACTGAACCCAAGGAATGAAACCAGGCAAGTGTATCAAAACTGTAATACAACTGTGCTCAAATTTTTTGGTGTCTTCTTGACTGGGCTGTAGAGTGCTCAGATATTTGGCCAAACATTCTGAGTGTGCATGTGAGGGTGTTGCTGTATAATAATAATACATTGCTGTATATAATAATACATTGCTCTCCCGGGTGGGTAAGCTTCAGTGAAACAGTTGGAAGCCTGTGTAGAAGAAAAGTACCAAAGAACTAACTGCCTGCCTGCCATCATGCTTACCAGCCAAACTAAATCCAAGTCAGGTGTACTGACTAGCATGCCTGTAATCCCTTGGGAAGTAGAGGCAAGAGGATCTGGAGTTCAAAGCCTTGGCTACACGAGACTCTGTCTTGGAAACAAACAAAAGGGGTTAGAGAGAGGGTTCAGTGGTTTAAAGCACTTGCTGATATTGTATAGGTTCAGTCCCTAGCACTCACTTGGCAGCTCAAAACCATAACTCCAGTTGGAAGGGTTCTGATTTTCCCTTCTGGTCTCCAAGGGCACCAGGCGCGCACATGGTACTCATATATAACATGTAAGCACAACACCAATAAATCTTAAATGAAGCAAGTGTGAGTCACCACACTTGGCTCTCTAAAACAAAACAAAGTTTAAAAACAAAACACCAAAACAAAAAAAGCCCTACAAAATAACAAAAAAAAACAACCAAACACAAAGTACCCTCATCCAGTGGCTCACACCAACTGTAACTCCAGTTCTAAGGGATCTGACACCTTCTGGCCAACAACACCTGTCCACATATGAACACAATACTTTTAAAATAAGACGGACTGGTGGCAGCACTCAGGAGGCAAAAGAGGAAGGCTGAATTCTGAATTTGAGACCAGCCTGGTCTACATAGCGAGCTCCATCAGGGCTACACAGTGAGACCCTATCTTAAAAAAAAAAAAAAAAAAAAAAAAAAAAGAAAAAAAATTTTCAAAAAAAAAAGGAAGACATCATCTTCACTCAGAATCTCAGAAGGCTGTGTTTGGAATATGACAGCAAAACACAAGAGGAGCGGGCCCTGACATAAATAACAATTTTTGCAGTCTGAACAACCCTACTCCAGAAATCTAGATCCAGTGATGTCAGAAAGTGTCTAACTGGGGATTCAGGGTGTTCAGGATGCTCAGATGGTAAAGTGTACACAGCTGAAAGTACAAACACTCTGAAATAGAAAACATGTGGTCTCAGGCATTTGAAAACTGGGATACATAGCCAGTGCAGCTAAAATAGTTTAAACAATGTGAGGCAAAAATACAGAGAAAAGCAACTAGAACTGATTATTGAATCCCAAAATAGACACAGCTACGCTGGGGAATTGGAAATGGTATTTTGATCCTAAATTTTTTACTTTATAATGTTATGGCTAGGAACATTCTGTCCAGAACACATGGGAAATTAAAACAGAAGGAAATGATACACTTCTCAAAGGTGACAAAGGTTGAGATGCATATGCAATGATTTGTTAGAGCTGAAAACACATCTTGCTAACCCTGAAACATGGAAAATTTTATGACTTAGACCTTAAAATGTGATTAACTATTAAGGAACCTGGATTGGGGGAAAACAGTCTCCAAAGAAAGATAATGGCAAGAGATTCAACCTGCAACACTTTAAATAGCCCCAAGTTGAAAGAAAAATAACAATCATTTACTATAAAGTTTATAATGAAGTAAGTCATCCTGAGAGAAACAATTTTAATATCTCTAATGAGACTAATAGAATACAATACTTCATTCCACGGAATGCTTTCAGACGCCAACATCCATACACTAAAGGTTAATAGGGATCATTTCTTTCAACTGCCCTAACAGTCCTAAGAGAGATGCTGGTGTTATCTCCACTCTACAAATGAGGAGACAGACAGAGCAGCAGCAAATGTCTTGCTGCCACTCGTGAAGCTGTTAAGCAGCAGCAGTTACGTATGAACATAGCAATCTATCTAACTTGACACCTGCACTTGTAACCCAGGAGTTTACACTGAAAAAAAGTCTTAACAAAAATCCCTCTCTATTCTTATTACAATGTTCATACTGATGCTCTTAGGGAGGGTCCAGCTTCAATTCCCATCTCTCAACATAACACCCACAACCATCTGTAACTCTTCCTCCAGGAGCTCGGACGCCCACCCTTCTCTGGCTTCTATGGGCACCATACATATGTGGTGCACATACATGCTTGCAGGCAAAGCACTCTACACACATTTTTTTCAATGTCTATCTTCAGTAACTTGGAATAAAACATCAATTGGAATAAGACCAGACTCAAAATAACCCGTGACAGGAAAAGAAACACAAGGCTAGGTTTGCAGCATCATTCCAAACAGTAAAAACCTGGCTGCAACCCAAGTGCTCCTCAAGTAGGGAATTATATGTATGCTAAATGCAAGAAAATGCATATTTTAGCCCATTGAGATAAGCCTGCCAGTTGTAGTTTAATTCAGCTGAAATGCAAATTGAATAAGTTGGTTTATGTGTTTGTATTAGCTAGGACTCTCTAGAGGAACAGAACTTAGAGAATGAATACATACATACATACATACATACATACATACATTAGAATGGCTTCCAGGCTATCATCCAGCTAGTCCAACAATGGCTGTCTACAAACAGAAGATTCAAGAATCCAATAGTTGTTCGGTTCATGAGGTCAGATGTCTTAGCTGGTCTACAGTATATGCCAGGTTGGCTCTAATGCCAGTGAAGGAATGGACTAGAGCAAGCAGGCTTAGAGAGCAAGCTTCTCTCTTCCATGTCCTTTACGTAGGCTGCCAGCAGAAGGAGTGGCCCAGATTAAAGGTGGGTCTTCATATCTCAAAAGATCTGGATTAAATGCAGGGCGTTGGTGGTGTATGCCTTTAATCCCAGCCCTTGGGAGGCAGAGGCAGGCAGATCTCTGTGAGTTCGAGGCCAGCCTGGTCTACAGAGAGAGTCCCAGGACAGCCTCCAAAACAATACAGAGAAACCCTGTCTCAAAAAACCCAAAAAACAAAAACAAAAAAAGATCTGAATTAAACATGTTATCTTCTCACCTCAAAGATCCAGGTTAAAAGTGAGTCTTCACACTTCAAATGAATTAAGAAAAAAAAAATCCCTCACAGGTGTCCTCAGCCACTTGGGTTTTAGTTCATTCTAGAGGTCATCAAGTTGACAACCAAGAACACCTATCACAAGTCCATCCTTTGTCAACTTGACACACAAACATCTCTTTATATCATGCTTTAATTTCCCAATGAAAACAACCAGCCATAATAATGGCTAGCTATCCCATGTACAGTCACAAACATATTATATATTTAACCAGGACATAATTATGCCTAACATAATATAACTATCCCTTGTACAACTGCAAACGCATTGTGCATTTAGTATAGGTGGCAATGTCCCTTGAGGGAAATTCTTCTAGTATCTCAAAACTTAAATATGATAAACACTGATAATCTCGTAATTGATGTTACATGAGAAAGAGACGGAGGAAGGAGAACACAGATATCTATGCAAACACATTCTTAATAAATATGACAGAAGCATTTATGTCAATGATAATCCTTGTGTCTGCAACTGGTCACATGGCACTAGCTGGTATTTATAACTACCTTCCTCGACTACCCATTCTATATTTCCTCTATCCTCAGCAAGCTCCTCAGTGGATTTTATCTCTTTTCCTGGAAGACGATCCATACCTTCATTTCTGAAGCATCTGTGCCCTTTGTCATCCTCTCTGGATTAGGCTTTAATCACAGAACATGATAACACCAAGAGATGCTCTAAACAACCTCCCACATCCAGACATTATCCTTTCCTGTATTGGGGGGAAGCAATCTGATTTCTCCTTGGTAATCTGGTCCAATCACCACTCCTGTAACACTGTTTATTCCTTTCTTAGCCTGTTGGCTTAAGGGCATCAGAAGCCCAAATGGCCATGGAAAAGCCTGAACTTTCAGCTCAATGGAATGTTTGTTGTATCTCCTCGAAGGAGTACCCCCAACCATGTCTGGATCCAAAACTTCTAGACCAGCAGAATTTAAGGTCATGGGAACAGGAGGAAAAATTTTCTAGTGGGTCAATAGGACAACAGTGGGTGAAACTATTCCCTTTTCCACTGTGTTAGTTAGGGTTTCCATTGCTGTGAGGAAACACCATGACCACAGCAACTCTTACAAATGAAATTAATGGGATGGTTTTCAGTTCAGAGGTTTAGTCCATTATCATCATGGTGGAACATGGCAGCATACAGGCAAACATGGTGCTAGAAAAGGAGAATTTTACATCTCCATCCAAAGGCAACAGGAAGTGGGCTGTCTCATTGGGCATAGCTTGAGCATATATGAGACCTCAAAGCCCACCTCCACATTAACACACTTCCTCCAACAAGGCCACACCTCCTAATAGTACCACTCCCTTTTGGGGCCATTTTCTTTCAAACCACCACATTCACCCCTTGATTCCTGGACCTGTGGATCCTGGCTATGAAAGAAACTACCATATATTGGACACTGATTCAAAGCATATGCTGTCTTCTGGAGAACCCTGCCTCAGCCCTCCCGGCTGCTGCCACCTAATTGGCGCTGTAACTATTTCTACAAGGGGCCATTTTGTCTTTGCCAGACCAACTGATTCAGGATGGTGGGGGACACGGTGAGACCGACCAGTGGATTCTGTGACCATGGGCCCACTGTCTAGCTTCTCTAGCTATGAAGTGAGTTCCTTTCCACAAGGAAGTGGTCCAGTATAGTCAACCTGTCACTAGGTAGTTGTCTGATCATCCCTAGGAATGGTGTTGTAAAAGGGATTCTGTTGGTGTCTGTTGTTGGCAAATCTGGCACTCAGCACCAGTTGTAGCCAGGTCAGTCTTGGTGAGTAGAAGTCCATGTTGTTGAGCCCATGCATAACCTTCATCT